TACTGCTATGAATATAGCTGAACAGCTGTCCTTGTATGAAAGTGCATCTTTTGGGTATATGCCTAAGAGTGGGGAGGAGGGAGGAGAAAGAGAAGGGGAGAAGAGGAGGGGAGAGGAGAACACAAGGGATCAGGAACACTGAGGCAGAGGGAAGAATAGAGGAGAGCAAGAAAAGAGATACCTTAGTAGAGGGAGCCATTATAAGTTTAAAGAGAAATCTGGCACTAGGGAGATGTTCAAAGATCCCAAAGAATGACCCCCAACTAAGAATCTAACAATAATGGAGAGGCTACCTTAAATGCCCTTCCCCTATAATGAGATTGATGACTGCCTTAAATAGTATCCTAGAGCCTTCATCCAGTAGCTGATGGAAGCAGAAGCCGACATCTACAGCTACGCACTGAGCTGAACTTATGGAATCTAGATGTAGAGAGGGAGGAGTGATGAACAAAGCAGTCAAGACCATGTTGGAGAAAACCACAAAAACAGCTGACCTGACCAAGTGAGAACACATGGACCCCAAGTAATAAAACTGGGGAACTAATATGGGACTGAACCAAGCCTTCTGAATGTGGGTATCAGTTAGGAGGCCTGGGTAGTCTATGGAACTTTTGACAATGGAACCAGTATTTATGCCTAGGGTACAAATGGACTTTGAGAGCCCATTCCATAAGGAGGGCTAGTCTTTCAGCCTAGAAACATGAGAGAGGGCCTAGACACTGCCCCAAGCCATGTGACAGACTTTGATGATCCTCCATAGAAGGCCTCAACCTCCCTGGGGAGTGGATGGCGGTGTGGGGTGGCATGGGAGGATGGGAGGGATGGGTAACTGTGATGGATATGTAAAATAAGATTGTTTCTAAATTAAATTAATAAAAGATTAAACAAACAAATACTTACAAAAAAGAAACTGTTACCAGAATAAAGCCATATAAACTCATGGATTTAAATGTCATTAACAATGAGATACATATAATTGCTTTTCTTTTGAATTAATTAAATCAAGAACTCAGATGCACCTCTTAACCCATTCTGTGCTCCACCAACTGTTGCAGAGCATGCTAGACCAGAGCCCTGGAGAGGGGCTGAAGGTGCTCTGAAGGCTAGTCATGAAGCCAGGCGCTCCGTGCACGCAATGAACAAGTGCCACCCACATTTTACCCTTCTGCCGGAGTCAGACATTCCTTCTCACACCTCAGCCTTTGACAGTCTGGGGAGTTATCTACTGACATCCTTCCAGAATCTTTCCCCCAAACAAGACTGTCACCTCATGCTCCATCTTTGCATGCTCATCTTTCATCTGGCTTTTGCCTCTTCACAAAGCCCCAGGTTCTTTCTCTCCTACCTCCAAATCTGGGAAGAATTTAAAAGCAGGGACCCTGTCATGCTTGTTTTTCATCTTGATACCCTTGTTGTAGTGCTGTGTATATAGTGTCCCAAAACATAACTATGGAAATAGCAAATAATTTTATAAATGTGATCAGGTGCAGGTCACTTCTGTACTAGAGGGAGGAAGTTCAGAGGACACTGCTTGACTTATCATGTATCATGACGCTTCTGTTTGTGCACTGCTTTTTGGTTTTCTTTTGTTTTCACTTAGATTTAATGTGTCTGTAAGTGCAAAGCTGCTTACCATGTACAGGCATAAAAATCTATGAAGAATATTCTAAAATATCTCACGCTTAGGGGATTTTAGCAGAGAACCTTTACAACAGACACCAGTTGTGTCAACACAAGGATCACAGACAAGCTGCATTATGCTAGCAGGATGTAGGAAACCATTCCTCTTTGCACACCAGCTGGTTGCAATAGTTCCAGTACTTGTGTGTATCAGTTTGTAGTGTGGAGTAAATTCAGGATCTAAGAATGCCGGCCATTCTCTAACAATCGCCTCACAGACTTGCATTTTCACAAATGTGTCAAAGACTCAACAGTACAGTTTACTTGTATCATTATTATTCACAAAAGCACCCTTTTGTTTTGTATTTCTTGTAATTTACCTTTCTGTCTATAACTGAATACTGACCACATTTAATTATAGTGGCACCATCTTCATGAACAACAAGATTTTAAAGTGACTTTTGTCTATTGATGTTATGTGTGTTTTAGAAAGTTTTTGCACCCCCCCTTAATACTTTAAAACCATTCCTAGAACATTGATTCCACATGGAATCACAAGGGTAAAAATGAAACCCAAAACCAGAACAAATTCTAATATTAAATCTACATCTAGTTTCCATAATCACAACAGTATGGTTGGATGTTTTTTAAAACCAAAAGCTTCAATATCAGTTTGATAAGCAGAAAACTGCTTTTCCTTAAAAGGTTGCCACTTTAAAACTTTTAAACCAGCTATAAATATCAGTGGTTTAATTTCTTCCAAATATGTTGTTTATTCATATACTATTGGTTGATTTTAGATATCTTTAAATATTTCACTTATACACTAAATTAAATTAACATGAAGTGGCCTCTGTGTTTCATCTGTTGTTAATAGGTTGTTAAAGAGAATGTAAGATAAAAATAGTCCAGTTGGATCAAAGGTCTATGTTTATCTCCTCTGCCCACCATTCTACCCAGTCTTAGGCCTCCATCTCCTACTTCTGTCCTTTACCTCTTCCTTCTCTCTGGCTGCGTTTCAGGGTTATTTTTCCATTGGTAGTCTTAAGCAATTCATGACTATGCAGTTTTTGTATTGTTTTATACATTGGATCTGTGGCTCTATAGTTTCACCAAGTTTGGAAAAACCTCACCTTTTATCCCTTCAATATTCCCATCCCTCCTCACCGCTCTGACTTCAGGAAGTATTTGACCACTTAAAGTTTTGCCACAGTTCAGAATCTGTCCTCTGTCCCTCCAGACTTCCTTCTTTCTTCCTCTCCTTTCTCGTATCCCTTCCTTTTCTGTTTCAGTCTGGATTCTATACCTTTGTCCCCAGTTCTACTGTTCTTCCACTGCAATTTTTACCTGCCATGAATTCTAACTAGAAGCTTGGGGAAAATACATCTGTCTCTAAGTCTATATAGTTCCTTGATTAGTCTGGGCTTCTTCACAGGAGAGCAGGTCAAAGCATCCTTCCTCTCTGGGTCAGTTTTCATTGGTTTTCTCTTTATTTTGGGTTTCATTTTGCACTCCTGGTTCTGGAATGCTTATATGAACTTTAATTTCCTGAGTGGTTAATAATTATCTAATCTTTAACATACTCTTGAATATACATATGAAATGAGAATGTTCTTGAGAAAAGTTTCATTCAGGTGTGGGTGGGGGGTTCTTCCTCTTAAAGTTTGTTTCTAGCTTTGTTCTTTCCTGGTTAAGAAAGTGAGACATTTCCCATAATATAATTCTCTTGAAATTATCTCATTCTCCTTGCTCTTGGCTTCTGTGTAGTGGCCCTGCTCTCTTTAAACATTAAGTGTGATTCTTTGGATTGTCCATTAGAGGAGTTTCTGCATGTATCTCTAGACTTTCTGTGTGATTTTCTCTTCTCCAGTGCTAGGGGATGAACAATTATAGGTCTTGGTTTCAGGGGAGATTGTTCATATCTGACTGGGTTGCATCTCCATGGACTAGAAACTCCTCTATTAAGTAAGTAGAGAATAAATTTAGATGATCATATTAATGAGAGATGTACAGTTCAGTGTTTTAAAGCTAGTCTGAGTTTTAAGACTGCCCCTTTGAATAGTGGCTTCTATGCTCATTGACATACTCAGTATGAAAGGATGGATACACTCCTGATGACAAAGTGACAAGATTGTGTTTAGGAATGTGGTGGGGAAAGTGTTTTCCAAACTGTAGTTAATTCTTGGTCTTTCTCTTCTGTCACCTGAATTTTGTGCATCAGTGACAAGGTTGTGGAAAGGTCTTACCGTGAGTTCCCTTGCTCTCTTGATACTTGGAAGAACTGGGATCTTCAGTTGAACATGTGAACTCCCATTGATTTCAGTGATCAGGATTGTCATGAAAGACAGATAAAGATAAGCATTATGTAATACTACAATGGACAGAGTTAAGTGCAATATGTCAGCTCTAGTCCTGTAAATTTAAGGAAAAGGATGGTTACTTTTCATTTGAACTTGTTGAAAACAAAATCAATAAATTTTCGAGTTCTCCTTAGCAACAGAGATAGATATGAGAAATTATTTTGCTTTTAAAACAAAAATTATTTTATAAATATATTCACACATACAATAACTTGGCTAAGTTAGATTTCTTCTGCAAAATGGCTGTCCAACTCAGACACTTCTTCTTACTCAGCTAATGTTTTATTAAACAGATATTTTAAATTCATGTGATTGAAGCAATGGTAAAAATGACAATGTAAGTTATGAAAGAATAATCTATCTCAATTCCAAAAAGTCTTTTGTGTTACTTTGGAATTTTCTGGCAGCACTAACAAGTTAAGACCAATGTAATATCAGTTCAAGAGTGTCTGCCTCTTAAAGGAAACACTCCTTCTACATTCATCCATTAACTTAACTCTTCCTGGACCTCCAAGTAGCGATTCTAACTTTAACCTCCTCATAAACTGTTAATGTGCCGTATCACTGAGAAGGTATCTAGCAGTAATGAAAACATGAGTAAAATAAAGTGTCTGAGTTGGACAATCCTTTTGCAGAAGAAAAAGTTCCCTATAAGTTATTGTACATGTGAATATATTTGTAAAATTATTTTACTTATATAAAAGCAAATAATTTTTCCTGTCTATCTCTGTTGTTAAGAAGACCCCTAAAATTCATTGCATTTGTTTTTATCAAGTTTAGAAGATAAGTAATCTTCTTCCTTATATAATAAACAATATGCATGCCTTGGAGGAATTTGAGCTGACATATTGCACTTAACTCTGTCCCTCAGAGTATTACATAATGTTTTACCTTTATTGCCATATGAGACGAGGTAGACAATTGCTTCTGGAGTATTTAACCTTTTGTCAAGGAAGTAAACAAAAACTGCTGTAAGCACAGAGGATATTGGTCAACAATGCTTCATTTATTTTTCAACAGGATACCTAGTGTTACTGAGCCAAACAGTTGGGAAGATCCATCCACATCATGAACCGTGCTTTCAGCAGGAAGAAAGGTAAGAGAATCTGGTAGTCAAATCAATACTACTAATAGAGCAGAAATAAGACATTAGCTTTTCCCACTTACCAAGTCAATAGAGTTTTATTAGAACAATTCACATGTGCAACAACTACTTATTAATACATTTTGTTTGTACATTGATGAAATAGTAGAGCTAATATGCTTAGTTCATTATGCATATGAACATGTTATATGTTCTCTAGAAACTGTGTGCTATGCTGTGAAATTATGTAGAATAGAATGATCTGAAATCTGTGGTAAGATCATAGGTAAACAATAATAGGTTGCATTCTACACTATGAATTTAAGTAGACATTGTAAACTGCCAAAGATAGGTATAGGAAATCTAATTATGGCATTATTATCTACATAGAGTTTTAGAAGTTGACTTTAATCATCAAGGGTAATAAAAAGTGACACAATAGTAAAAGTAACTATGATTATTTAATATATGGACAATAGATGTCCAGAACTAACAACTATAGAATTAGTGTTCTATTTTATTTAGTGAAGCCAATGGAAGTATACTCCACCCAACTCCAGTTTCTCTTTAAGTAGTCCAGGATTTAGGTATCCCTTTCAGGTCTTAGGAAGATGAACTTGAATTTTGTTCACCTGGCCTCCATGATGCAGGTGTTGGGATTACTGGCCTATACCATTGCACATGTTTATGAGGTACTGTGGTTCAAACTCAGGACTCTTGAGTTCAGGAATTGTGGGCATGAACCACCAGGCCTAGAAAATTTATATGTACATATGATGAATGTCTGGAAGTGTGTGTGTGTGTGTGTGTGCATAAGTATACACATATATGTGGGCACATGTTGAAGACAGGCATTAATATCAGGCACCTACCTCAATCACTCTCAACCTTGTTCTTTGGACAGGGCCTCTCACTGAATGTGTAGCTTACCATTAATTACATTGGATATACAGAAATCCTAAGGGTCCTGTGTTCTTCATCTTCTCTGGGTCTAGTATTACAGCATGAGCTGCAATACTTAACCTCTTTACATAAGTGCTGGGATTTAAAATCATGTCCTCATGTTTGTTCAAATAGCACTTTACCAACTGAGGCATCTCCAGAGTGCTTAATTTAAAAATCTTTAATGTAAAAAGGCAAGACCACCTGAAAAATTTTAAGGTTATTCTTGAATTAACCATATTTCCTAGTAAGTATAAAAAGTATAAATAATATGGGAATCTATTTAATAGTTTTTAAAAGATTTATTTACTTTTACTTTATGTTTACTAGTATTTTGCCTGTAAGTATGTTTGTATAAATGTCTGTGTATGACATGCATGCCTGGTACTTCTGCAAGCCTGAAGCGGACATCAGATTCTGTGGAACTGAAGTTGCCATCACTTTATGAGTCTTCTGCAAGAGCAACAAGTGTTCTTTTTAAAAATTTTCTGTGTTTACATTGCAGCTGCAGTTTTCCATCTCTCTCATCTTTCCAGCTCCCTATCCCCTTCCACCCACTCCTCCTCCACTGTTTCTCTTTGAATATAAGCGGGTATAGCATGGTTATCAGCCAGGCATGGTATGTAAAATTGCAGTGAGACTAGGCACCTACCCCTCTATTAAGGCTGGTTGCTGTAACCTAGGAGGAGGAAAGAGTCCCAAAAGCAGAAAGCAGGAAGCAGTGTCAGAGACATCCGCTACTCTCACTGGTAGGAGTCTCACAGGAAGACAAAGTTGCACAGCTGTAATATATCAGCAGAGGGCCTAGGTGAGCCCCATGAAGGCTCCCTGGTTGTTGATTCAGCCTCTGTGAGCCCCTATGAGACCAGAGTTAGCTAGGCTGTGTGTTTCCTTGTGTCCTTAACCCATATGGGTTTTACAATCCTTTTTCCCTCTCTTCTTCAGGACTCCCTGAGCTCTGCCTAATGTTTGGTTATGGGTCTGCTTCTGCTTCCATCAGGTTCTGGATGAACCCTTTCTGATGACAATTGGGCTAGCAACCAATCTATGAGTATAGTCCTCTCTCAGATATGGAGTTGGTGAAATGTTTTTCCATTCTGTAGGCTGCCCTTTTGTCCTATTGACAATGTCCTTTGCCTTAAAGAGAAGCTTTTCAGTTTCATGAGGTTCCATTTGTTAATTGTCAACCTTAGTGTCTGTGCCATTCTGTTCAGAAAGTCCACTCTGTGCCAATACATTCAAGGCTATTCCCCACTTTCTCTTCTATCAGGTTCAGTGTGTCTGGTTTCATGTTGCAGTCTTTGATCCATTTGGATTTGAGTTTTGTACAGGGTGATAGATACTACTGATCTGTCTTTCTAGCCCTTTAACATTTTCACTAATTAAATGGCATTTTCAATATTATGTTTTAAATCTTGCAAGCATGCTTCTTAAAGTATTTTACCCACTCACAGCTCTGATTTGCTTTGTTCTGTGCACAGAAATAGCCATGATGCCACTGACCCTTCAGTTATCTTAGAAACTTGCTAGCACTTAAATGTGTTTAATATAGGTATTTTGTATTATCCTAAGACAAGTGACATTACAGGAATATATGCAATTTTTCATCTTTATGCTCTTCCAGTTTGTAAATTTGTTAACATAATTTTAACATCATCTCAAATGAATTTTGAAAGCATTACAAAAAAAGAAAAAAGACACTTGTCTTAAATTGCATGTTTGCTTTTGCTCATAGCTCCACTATGTTGTCCTTATAAAGCAAGTACCAGGAAAAGTGGATGTGTGTGTAACCGAAGGACAGCAAATTTGCTGTGGCCAGCCTTGGCTATGTAGTGATACCCTAATAATTAATGAGTGACTTTTATAAGTAAGAATGTAACAAATACCTTAATCATTTGCAGTTACAACATCTTACTTTCTTAATTTAAGAAAGTTAAAAAAATTAGATTGCCTTCGCTAGCATAGATTTTCTTCAGGTGAGAATGTATGAACATAGCATCATAAAAATTGGTGGTTTAATCCAATACTGCATTTTCTCTGTTACAGACAAAACATGGATGCATACGCCTGAAGCATTATCAAAACATTACATTCCCTATAATGCAAAGGTAAAATAGTTATTAGGATATTATCTAATTTTACTTTGTATGTATTATTTTGAATAGTTGTGTTAATTTTAGATTGTTTATGCATTGACATTTCCTGGTAAGTGGCATTTGAAACTAAGTTGACATTACTGAAATAAGTAATATAACATATAGAAAATCATTTTAATCTCTGAATTCATTTAAAAATAAAAGTATGCCTTATGTAGTTTCTCGAGTTATGTATTTCATTTATTCTTTTTCTTATTATGAGTTGGACTCATAGTTATTTTGCAATGTCATTGCCTCTGGGAAATTAAACAACTTAAAAATTAGCTTCTGTTAAATGCATTTTAATATTGTGGTACATGAAAAACAAATAAAAACTAATCTTGGAAAGTGAGATGCAATTTTAATATGCAATTGGAATCCAAGAAACAAGCAAATGAAATGGAAACCATAAAAGCATAAAATGTATTTTTGTTATTCTTTCTTTGGATCATTGTGTTTTGGTGAAGAAACAGAAGCATTAATGTGTATGCTATCATTTTAAAGATTTGATCTTCTGTTTAAAATTGTCCTGAAGGGATGTAATTTGTAAAAGGTACATTAAAGTGAGATGAGACTTTGTAGTTAGCAAAAGACCTCAACTTGTTCTTAGAGAAATCCGAGTCAAAATTTTGAAAAGACAGAAACAAATGTAATATTTGAGACTTTAAATATGGGGTTAAGGCAAGCTTGGACTTCTAGACTTTGAAAACATGTTGGAAGTAGGAAACTCTACTATTTAAAAGGGAACTTAAGGGTTTATATATTAATAAACTATACACCATGATACAATAAGCATAGACTTGGGGATTATTTTAGAAAAATGAAAAAATTTATTGAGCAAAATACAGTGGGAACCCTACACTGGGCTGGTTCAGGTCCATGTTGGCCCGAAGAAGTGTGTGGAGCCCTGAGGAAGAAATTACCCCAGAATGTGTTACTCAGAACCAAGATTTGTTAGTGACAGGAAAAAATGTGATTTCATAGGGAAGATGCTCTAATCCTTTCCATGCAACAGAAATATGCCTGAAATTGCTGTATGTTTATTAATTTCCATATAAAATTGGCATGGAGGCTGATTTCTGTCACTTGTCATGTAAAGTTATCAAACCAGAAACAATTTATTACCTACCCTATGGAGTATTAATCATAAAGAGCATGTGATATATAAGGAAACATATCACTAACGACAGCTATTATTATTTTCAGCTGCACAGTCAGGCTTTACAGCCATAGTACAGTTACATCCCTTAGGTGAAACTAATCAAGGCTGTTTCACTTTTTGTAATTAAAATGCATCATATTGAAACTCTGGTTTGTCAGTATTAGGAAACTCCATTCTAATTAGAACTACCTTTTTATTTTAGTACTGCAGGGTTAATGTGACAATGGAGATCTGTATGTAGACAGGGTCAGTTGCTTGTGCTGTACCAGACAATAACTGTAAAGTTACTGACACTAATGGAAAACTATAGAACACTTCCCACACAGGGGCCAGCATCATTCCATAAGGCTTTAGCAACAGTGCCCATCACAGAGACGCTGTTTAATAAATGAATACTGACTAGGTGTTATTACAGACATTGGTAGAGCTCTGCTCTTGTTCTTCATGTAGCTTATTATGGGAAAGCAGGTTGGTTTCCTCTGTCACATTTTACCTCATCTGTGAGAATGTGTATCATGTTTGCACTAAGTAGCATTACTGCAATCTGAAGAACATTCAGTTTCCTACCCGGTAGTGCCTTATCTTTTTAGTGGAACTATTTTTAGAGGTGTATTCTCTTCTTGTTAGTCCATATACCACATGAAAAGTCAGCCTGTGTTCACAGGAGGTGGTTTAGTATAGCATGGGAGATTATAGAACATGGAACTAGACTGCCTGGGGAGGTATCCTAACTAAGAAGTTTAGCTCTGTATCACTGACCAATCTACTTAATTTTCTATATTTGTGCTATGCATTCAAGAATAAGGAAGTCAATAATAGCACTTTCTTACATGAGTTGTTTTAGATTTAAAGAGTGTAAATGAAGCTTGAAACAACATATGACATAAAATAACTACCCAGTAAATATTAGCGACCATGAACACATAATTTCTTCTCAAAATTTATCAAGGTGACAGCCTTATAGTAGATTTATATTATAAATGATTGATGTATCAATACAGAGCATTATCACTGAAATATATTTCATTTAACCCACGTAGACACTGGAGACATGGCACTGGTGTGTTTTACATGCCTTCTGTTATTACTGATGTTTATGGTGGCCTTGTGTACTGAATAACAATATTCTCATCACTTTATAGGTTAGAAAACAAATGGTAAAGCACTACATACTTTGCCTGTTGTCACAGAGATAGTAAAATGAGACTGCTGGAAAAACGGAGGTCTGTGTGACTTTAAAGTTTTGTGTTTTTTAAAACCAAATATGATAATAATATGTTATGCATTCATTATATAAATACCTATTATGTATAAAGCTTTACTGGATATTGGCATATTCCAGAGCTCTATAGAAGATTGTTTATATTTGTATGGTGTCTATTATCATAAGGAAGCAAATAGCCACCATAATTGTCACAACATGTCTTTGTTTGGTTTCTAATGCTGTGATAAATCATTGAACAAAACCAACTTGGACGGGGCTATTTGTCTAGTAGGTTATAACCCATCATCAAGTAAAGCTAGGGCAGGGACACAAGGAACCAAGAGGCAAGAGACAATGGTAGACTATTGGCTTGTTCCTTATCCTTCTCAGTTTACTTTCTTGTACTCCCCAGAATCACCTGCCTGGATCTGCCATTGCTCATAGTGGGCTGAGGCCTCCCATGTCAATCATTAATCATGAAAACATAACACAGCGTTATGTAACACAGTGGTCAGTCTCTTGGAGGTGATTCTCTCAGGGGACTTTAGTTTATGTCAACTGGACAAAAACTGACCACCACATACCATGTTCTCTTCCCTTCACATGACAATTACGGAAAGTTGTAGAGATTCAGAGAATAGTAAGTCACCCTTGTGAGGTAGGATTCCCAAAGTTTAAAACAGGGTTTGTGTCGTTTCCATCTGACAAGTGTGTGACAGAGTGATTTTAGCATGAACATAATGAGTAAAGTACACATTCTATGTGATAAGAGCTGGGCTTCAGCTGGCATACTACAAGTCAGATCATTAGGATTGTGTTGGCTACTTTTATGTAAATTTGACACAAGCTACATATTTTGTGAAGAGGAATTCTCAATTAGAAAAAAGCTGTATAAAATCTAGCTTATAGCGAAGTTTGGTGGGAATTTTCTTGTTTAATATCAGTGTAGGACTACCCAGCTCAGTTTGGATGGACTCAGCTCTGGGCAGTTAATCTTGCGGTATATAAGAAGGCAAACTGAGAAAGTCAGTAAGCAGAATTCTTCCATGGCTTCTGTTTCATTTCTTGACTTCAGATTCCTGCCTTGAGTTCCTTCCCTGACTTCCCTTATGATATGGGGCATGATATGAAAGTTGTCAGATGGAATAAACCCTTTCCTCCCCAAATTGCTTTTGGTCATGGTGTTTTATACAGCAATAAATCCCTAACTAAGAAAATAGAAATGATAAGGACTGAAGCAGGCAAGGAGGGAGGGAGTCAGGGATTGAGAAAGGGAGAGAGAAAGAGGGAGGGAGGGAGGAGGGAGGGAGAGAGAGACAGACAGACAGACAGACAGAGAGAGAGAGAGAGAGAGAGAGAGACAGACAGAGAGAGAGAGACAGAGAGAGAGAGACAGAGAGACAGAGACAGAGAGACAGAGAGACAGAGAGAAGTCACATGATGGACCATTGAAATGAGTGGGAAATTCTTGCCAGGAGCTCACCCTGCAGACCACAGGTGGAATTCCCTTCTTTCTCTGAAGAACACAGATTTCATCTCTATTCTTTCAATTGCTTGATTTTTTCAATTGCTTGAATCAGACCTGCCTAGACTATCTAAAATAATTGTCTTATATATAAAGTATCAATTGATTATAGGCATTAATCACTCCTACAAAATAATTTAATCAGAATATCTAGATTAGAATTTGACTGAATATTTACATTATAATTTGGTGAATTTGCATACAGGACTGCTGGCTATAAGTCTAAAGACAGACAAAACTAAGGGAAATTGAGAAGACACTTGGATGGTATGAGAATCAGTTAAGTCATAAACTGAACATAGAATATTTTAATGATCTCTGTAGTTACATGAGAATTCATCTTGATCAGAAGAAGAGATCATTAGGCCTCCTAGGAAGTCATCTTAATGGTACAAGGATTAGTAATAAATTTAATGAATGATAGGACATACATATGTGGCAAAAATATCAGGTGATAAGCATCAGACAACAGTGTCGGTCTACAGTAAGGCTCATTAGTTTTGATATTTTCTTTATGTGTAGTGACAGCATTAGTGCTAGTTCACTGGCAATTTATCATATTTTCTGTGTACTCTGTAGCAATGCTTTTAGTTTACAGGTTATAACCTAAGGAAAAATATGTTATGAAATCAACATAGTGTAGATCATTGGAAGCCTGCCTTTAGAGATAGAGTAAATATTAAAAGGAAAGAAACTCAGAAGGCATGTGGCAAGTATGTATTTTCTCTACAAAATTATGTTCTATAGTCAAAGAATTTGAAAGCTAATATTCAAATAATTGTGACCTGTAACCTGTTTTTCAACACACTGGACTTGACCAGGTTTAACTAATTTAAAGTACAAATCAATAATTGAGTAAAAATCTGCCTATTTAAGCAGCTTCTAATTTTTAGACACATTCTCTCTATATTTTCTTAGCTGTCCGGGGACTCACAGATACCTGCATACTGCCTGCCTCTGCTTCCTGAGTGATGGCATTAAAAGTATGTGCCACTATAGCCAGACGCTGGTACACTGACAGTAGAAGAGATGGTTAACAATTTTAATCATATGCCCTCATTGAATACAGTGTCTTTCAATGA